GGGGATCTAATTCAGCCCAAACATAATCCTGATGGGTAGCAAAGCAGAGCAAAAATAATGATTCCTTTGACTCCTCAGCTGTGCATGCAGAGCTGTTCCTGGATGCATGGGCTAATGCACTTGTAAAAATCTTCCTCTGTCTGTATTTAACAAACTCTCACGTATGCACCAACAGACATACTCACACATACACAGGCAGTTCAGGGAAAAGGACCAAGCAAGTTCTAGCCATAATTTTGGCCATCATTTATTTGAATGGGTTTTCAAATAATCCTTTGGCTCTTAGTAGGAGACCCATGATATTAACCTTGTGATGTTTACTGGCAGTTTCGAAGTTCATCATGTCTTAGTTACTTCTTCATTTTTGGGAAAAAATACCTGACACCAACAACTCTAAGGAGGAGAGGTTTACTTTGGTTCACAGTTTGTAGAGGTTTCAGTCCATAGTCAGCCAGGATGACATGGCAGAGGGGTATTCAGAGGAGAAATAGCACATGGAATGGTGCAGGAAGCAGTGAGAGATCAAGAGAGGAGGAGGTCCACACCCCAGCAATCTCCTCCGCCACCAGACTTCAACTCCAGCCATCATATCATACTCAACTGTAAGCCCATCAGTGGGTGAATGCACCAACGAATATCACACACCCATGATCCAGCCACCTCCCCAAAGCCACGTCTAGGAGCACATGAGGCTTTGGAATGGGCATCAAGGTAGAACCACAGGAATTCCTGGTTGAACTTCTGTGTTTTAATTTTTGTTCAAACAGTGAGTGCTTTGAACAATTTGAAATAGGCAAAGGCAATTTTGGGGCAAACATTTAGTTTACTCATACATAAAACTAATTTTGAGTAATATTCTAGTTTGAGCTGCATGTTTCCAGTGATTCAGCATTGTTCTTCCTTGTTAGAAATACAAATATAGGTTTATTCCCAGAAAACACCAATGCAATAAAAACCTGAAAACTGAAAATCAGTCCATAAGCTACTTACTTAAAGATGAGCTTTTCCCTGTGGGATTTTAATAAATTACTTTAACAGTTTTTCTTTTCCCCCAAATACCAAGAACACGATGTGCATTACATTGTTCAGGTGTGTTATAAAGAATAGCTCACGTCATAGAAGGGAACTAACAGAATACCGCAGCTTGGGCATACTGGAGGTCCAGAAGCGAAGCTGTACCCTTCATAAGTCACTTGACCAGGAAAATGAGAATTTAGTTTCCTTCATCCAAAGTCTCAGCAGCCCTTCCCTGTTATCAGCAGCTCAGTGGTTTGTTGAACACTCTCTGGAAAAGACAAAGGACAAGGCGGCCCAGAGAACAGCCCCTGCTACTGCTTTACTTTGCCATGCCTTTGTCTGAATCTAAGTCCAAAGTCTCCTCTGAGACTCAAGGCAAACAGCTGTGCATCCCTGTCAAAAAGAGAAAAGAAGAGAAAGAATTAAATATTTCTGACATGCAAAGGTGCAGGTTAAACATTCCCCTTCCAAAAGGGATTCTCATTCCAGTAACATGCCTATTCCAATAAGGGTATGATAGAAAGGATTGGGACCAAAGCAAGACCAAATCAGCAGGGCAAACATTAAGTAGCTGCAGGTGCATCACTCCAGGGAGGTCCAAGGAGCTCCAAGAAGCTTGCATAGCTCCGGGCTTTACGCACTGTCCTTTGCAGCACGCATGTCCTCTGTCTTGAGTTGGCTCTGCTTGCTACTTGCTGCTTTCTCCAGAAGATGATCCTCATTTTTGCCATCTCTAACTTCCTGGGGCTGTACTACACCTGTGGCTTCCTTTTGACATCTTCATGCATTGCCCCATGAAGGGCATCTGACCACCAAGGGCTTCTTTTGAAATTTGGGTGGAAGCCTCCATGACCCCATAACTCTTGCATTCTGTATGCCTGGAAAACTAACACATCATAGATGATGCCAAGGAGTACTGCCAGCTCAAGCAATAGCCAGGCACCCTGGACCATGGATGCAATGACTTCTGAATGTCTGTATGGCTGATCCTAGAGAAATGTATTCTGGGGCACTAATTCCTTAGTTGGCCCATCTTTAGCAGGCATCCCAGGGAATCTCTCTTTCATTTAGAAAGATTTACAGTTTTTTAGCTGTGAGCCTGCAAAGGATAGTATCTGGCCAGTTCTGCAGATACTTTCTAGCTGTCTTTCCTAATATTCTGATGCTGAGTATTTCTTTTTAATGCTAACTTTTTTTAGTAGGTACATTCTTCAAGCTGCCCTCACCTGCAGCTTTATAGGGGTTTTTTTCTGAAAAAGAAAAAAAAACTGAAAACTTTTTATACATTTTGGACTTGCCTTTTTGCTCCTGATTTTCACTGTAGCTGCAGCTATACCCAGCCAGCAGTACTCAGGCCACAACCTAAATGCTGAGCTGTCTTAATATTTCTTCCACCAGATTTGTTAGTCTTCTGCCCTAAATCTCAGCCTCCTTCAAAGTATCAAAGCATGAACAAAATGAAGATGGATTGTTGGACAGAGTGTAACACACATGGCTTCTAGTGCAATTGCGATCAATTCCTTGCTCCCAAGTGAAACTCCCTGAGTCTGCCCTTTCCTTTCTGTGGTTTCCTAAGTCTGACCAATATCGCTCATGAGGCTCTGCTGATAACAATCTAGGACTTCTCTAGCCCACTTCTCCAAATTTTCTCCAAACTTCTCCTGCAAGTAAGTTTCAAAGGCTTCAGAGCCACACGGTCAGGGACAGTCATAGTGATGACCCTACTCCTGGAACCAAAATCTGTGTTAGTCCACTTTTCCATCACCAGAACAAAGTAACCAATGGATGAAACTTAAAGGAGGCAAAGTTCATTTAGCATTAATTAATGTTTCAATGGGCTCAATTCCCAGTAGGCTGGCTCCAAGGGAAAAGTGATATGGAAGAAGGTCATGGTAGAGGAAGCCATTCACCTCACAGAGGCAATGAAGCAGAGTGAAGGAAGCAGCCATAGAAAAGAAAAACCCTTCCAGTTCTTCCCCTGGTGATTCACCTCTTCCAAGCAAGCCTCACCTACTAACCGCACATTCACCATGAACTCATCAATGAGTCCATCCCTGTGATTCAGGCACCTTCCAAATATATGGGACTTTTGGGGGGACATTTTAGATCTAAACCACAATAATACAAAAGGATGAGAAAGATGACATCTGAATCCTGGGTGTCATCCCTCAGGGCACTCAGGCCTCCAGCCTTCTCATCCTCTGAGCTCCCCATTTCTGAAGCTCTATGAGCTATCTATACCTGTCCACAGAATTCTGGCCATAGAAAGAAGAGCAGAAGTTTCCAGCAAGCCAGGCCAGCCTCACGACAGACTCCTCTCTGTTCTGACCTGTGCTGTGTGCTTGGGTGCTTTGCTTGTCCTTGGAAAGGTTTCACTCTGAGACTGCTTCCTGCTGTGACCTTCCATCCTTCCACGCCAGGAGTCTGTAGCCCAGTGCCCTTTCCGTTCTTGAGCACGTGATTCTGCTCACCAAGAGCCACACCCTATGGCAAATGCCATGCCCTACACACAGAGTTAAATGTTTCCTGGTGCTGGTCACCTGAGAGGCAACTTGTCTCACTGAATGGTGACTGAGACACAAGGACCCTATTATGTAGTCTAGAAAGAAGATGGGAGCTCCAGGAGAAGGAAACATATCCAGAAGGGACTTTTAGTCCTGATGTCAGACCTGGGGAAGATTAGGTTCTTGGAGAAGAGGAACCAGGGAAGTCTTTCCAATGAAAATTCCACCAGCTGTTCCTTCCAATCTTCCATTCTATATACAAACTTTGGCCCTGTCTTCACAGGGATACAGGATACTTTGTGTTCAGTATAATCCTGGGTATCACTCCCTTCACAGACGAGCTTTGGTTTCCTTGAGGAATGTTTCTAGTTGTTTGCATCATTATAGATGGTCAGTCATCTTGTGTTAACTGCAGCAGGTTCCTGAACACTAAATCTGCCCAGCTGATTCTGGACTTTACCTGGTGCAATGCAGGGATTGGGGCCATCTGGAGGTTTGTGAGGGTCTGTGCACAAGAGGTGCCCCAGGAAGTGGCTGTGGATGGAGTGAGGCCCCCAGGATGAGCCCGAGGCAGCAGTGGGAAGAGGCAGGTATGAAAGTGGGGTCAGCGGGGAACAAAGAAGGAGCAGTGACCATCTGAGAGCCAGAAGCCCTTTCCAAAGAAGCAGTGGGAAAGCTCAGATGTTGCAGGTGGGGGAGGGGTCATGAAAAATAAATACAGAGGACTGAAGATCCAGGTCAGAAATACACCCACCCCTAGTGACTTCTGGCCAAGCCATTTCGGGGGTGTTGTGGGGGTGAAAGGTATATTAGGGCAGTTTCCAGAGAAATCAGGAGGAGAATTCAAGATCAGTAGACACAGGTTTTGAGATGTCCTGATAGGAATGGAAACTGGGAAGGAGCTTAGAATGAAATTGGTTAGAATTTAGTTTTTTCATTTGTAAAGAACAGTTGATAAAAAAATTTTGCTTCTTTTCTTTGGCAGTAAGAATTTAAGACTTTCAGAGGTAACGTGTTTCCTGATGGGAGTGTCTTGTGGAAAGGGACGTGGGGGGCATCCTGGTAGACACGGGGTTTCCATGATGCCTTCCGCCTGGTCGTTGATCCCAGGAAAGCGCGGCCCCAGTGGGTCCTGGAAGCCGTGCTCCTCTGTGCGCTGGGGCCCTGTGGACTTTCGTCTTTGCTGACCAGGGCCAAATGTATCTTCCTTTGGAAATGTTTGCCAGATGATTAAATGTGTTTGAGAGTCGATCTTGGTAAGTTCATGCCTTAATTATGCCGCTTGTAGCTTTTAACATCCTCACGCTAAACTGAACAGACAACGCAAATCAAAACGCAATCAAAAGCCACTGAACCCGTGGCAGAGCCCAGGCTTCTCTAAGTGGACCCGAGGGTCCTGGTGCCCCAGTCAGTCCGGTGTCGCTTGCAGGCAGCTCTGCACCGCGCCTGATGCTCTGTACTTCCTTCTCCCCACAACAGCTCTGTGTCAACATGACCAACGAGCATGTGCACCACTACATCAAGGACGCGCTTTTTCTACAAGAGCAAACGGAATGCATACAAGAGGGGGTTGCCATGGAAACGGCATATTCTCCTGGTACCCAGACTGGAGTTTTGGATTTCTTTTTCCAGGTATTCATATAATATAATTAGATACTTAACAGGATACATGCATTGAAAATGTCCTGGAGACAAAGAATTTTCTTCCTGAAGGCTCTGTTTTTGAGGTAGCTGTGTACAGAAAGCTCTGCAGAGAATTTATAACATTTCAAAATCTATCAAGCAGCAGGAGTTATCTTTTTGTAAAGGGGCATTTGAGAGAGAACCAGTTCACTAAAAGGACAAGAAATGTAAGAACCATGTAGATATAAAAAATTTTCAACATTTTTCACTTGCTATGACTAAGACTCCTTTTGGCAATTACATGTGATCACTATCCAAGCTTTCTAAGGTAATTTTAAGATGAGCGATATTGTGAAAGTCAGTAGAATTTTTTTTATTTATCTTCAGTTAATAAAAGCTAAATTTTGGAAGCCTGGCAGGCAGAGTACACACTTTCATAATATTTGGTTAAATTTAAGAGGTTTGGGACAGATACTGATATGTTGATACTATCTTATTTCACTTACAATGGAAAAGCTTTGACACAGGAACACTATATACACTAACAAAACTTTCATACAAATAGCAGTTTCTCTCTCTCCTCTCTGCTCTCTCCTCTCTCCTCTCTCTCTGTCTCTGTCTCCCTCTCTGTGTATCCCCGTCTCTTTCTTTCTCTCTCCTTTTCACTCTTTTTTTTTTCTCTCTCCTTCCCTCTCTCTCCTGGGAATGAATCCAGGTTCTTTCTCTAAACTACATCCCCACCACTTTTCTATGATTTTTCTGTTGTTTGTTTGTTTTTTTCCTTTTGTTTCTTGAGAAAAGATTTTGCTAAGTTGCTGGGCCTGAGTTTGCAATCCCCCTGTCTCTCAGAGAATTAGGATTACTTGCTGGGTGGGGACGTCTCTTTGACCAAACCCAGAAGTGCATTAAAAATAGAGATGGATTCTTTTTCTGAGTGTCTGTATAAACAGAATAAAAATAAAAGGAGCAAGCCAACATCAAAAACACCAAGCTAAGTGATAGAGGAAAACCTCTCTCTCTTCCTCATCCTCAGAAGCCATCTGGATTTCTCTCTCTGTTGGATGAAGAAAGCCAAACAAGCTGGACAGCGGAACCAAACCTCCCCAAGAAGCTCCAGAGTCTGCTGGAGTCCTCCAACACGAATGCGGTGTACCCCCCGATGAAGGATGGGAACGGGAACCTGGCGCTGCGGGGCACGGGCTCAGCTTTCACTGTCATGCACTATGCGGGCCGGGTGAGTGGGAAAACTGCGGGCTGGCAGTGTGGCCTGCAGGGCTGTGGGCCCGGGAACAGATTGCAGAGGTTTGGGTGCCTGGGCATGTGATTATGACCGGGACGCTGGACAAGCAGCCCACGAAATTTGCTTTCATAAGTGATTTGTTTTCCGTGTGAGCAGCAGCTCCTGCTCCCAGAGTGGCGTGAAGCGTGGGATGTGACCAAGCCTGGCTTTCAGGGTTATGGTTTCCACCAGTGCAAGAGCCCGGTGGTTCAGGCTCACAAAGAGCACTGCTGTGTGTCTCAGGGTCTTTTCACAAGGCAAGCAAACTGCCAGTGCTGGCCTCTGCTGGCCCTGCACGCAGCTGCGTGCAGCTCTGAGGTCCTCTTCTGGGAGCCTGGCAGCGGAACACGGCGGCTACCCTTCACATGCTGCCTCTCGGCTAGCATAGGGATCTCTGCTCCTTTCTCAAACGCTGTCAGGACACCTGCCCACACCCTCCTGGCTTCTGAGGTGCAGGCTCCTGTAGACCTGGGTTAGGGGCTTTGTTCCCATCCACTCAGGGCTCCTTGAATTCTCTCTCCAAGCTCTTTTCCACTCAGCCTTGAACTTTGCTCCTTGTCTTCATAGGAAGACCATACTGTGTTCACCTGTCTGTTTTCTTTTCTTGATGCTGAGGGTTGAACTCAGGGCCTTTCTCCTGAGCTACTGCCCCAGCCCCTGTAAAGTTGTGTTACTTTGAAATAGGGTCTCAGTCTCTATAAACTGCCTGTGCTGGGCATGGACTTGCTGTCCACTTGCGTCAGCCTTCTAGAGTGCTGGGATTTCCGGCTGTACCATCTGCTGGGCTTTTATCCGCCTCTGAAAACTTAAATCCTTGCCCAGCAACCTTCAGTCCCTCTCCTGCCTGTAGTTATTGATGCCTTTTTTACAATTGCCCCCTGTGCCCTCTGCCACTTTGGTACCAGCCCTAGCAGGAGTTATGTCCTAGAAGAATCTTGCCCTCCTGTTATGAAGGACCAGAAGTGAGGAGCAGAAGGGCTCCAGAGCAGAAGCAGATCTTTGTAGACTCCCATTCAGGAGCCATTCAGGAGCTCCCTGATGGCTGCACCCCAGAATTGAGCTGCCAAGGTGAGTGCCCCATGTGATAGGGACCCCAGCCAGGCTGAGAAGCAGCTTCTGTGTGTCACATTTTCCCACTGCTGCTGCCACCTACTCAGGTAACATCCCTATGCCCTGGCACTCAGCACCAACACACAACCGTCCAGAGCAAGGGCTGGCCACACCTGCACCAAAGGAGCCCAGCAGCTTGTGCCAGGCTTGCCTGGAGCCAGGGCCCAAGCCACACAGGACTGACCTCTGCCCTTTGCCCAGGAGTGACCAACCCTGGTCATAGTGGCTCCCAGTCACAGAGGCCTCTCAGAAGGCTCCTTTCTTGCCCTCCAGTCTCTGCACTGCAGCTGCCCCAGTCCACTAGCCAGCGATCCCACACCGATGGGAAAGGAGTACGGAAGGAATTAGCAGCAGAATCACTATATAGGCTGCTTTGGGCCAAACACTGAATTAATCTGCACCTAGTACTGAGGACTTGGTTCTCCTGACTGTGAGCTCATACATACAGGACTTTAGACAGGAGCTCAGTGCCGATGGCAAAGGTGATGCTAGGATGTCAGAGGCTGGTTGATTTTAGACACACACGCTGGGAAATGTGTGTCTTGATGGTTTTACCCAGGAAGAATATGGAGGACAGGGGGAAAAATTTACTAAAAAGGGAAGTAGCATGAACACCCCGAGAAAAAGGCATCAGAATATAGGGTAATGCAGCAGCCAGGCCCCAGTGTGCCTGTGAAGGGGGCAGCAGCGGCTTGAGGACACGTGGGGTGGCCGCAGCATGTGGAGAGGAGGTCCACAATGGGAAGGTTCCAGGGTTCCCCGACAGTTACTAACTTCCTCTTCTGTTCCAGGGACTGGGCCTTTGAAATTCTTTGTAAAAACAGGGATCTCTTAGCCCTATGTCCAGATTTTGTCTCTACACCTTCTTTGTGTTAAACATGTATTCAATTGAGAACAATGATGTAAAATTTTGCAGAAGGTATCGTGATTCAAGAAGTTATTGTCCTTTGCCTCTTCAGGGGAGCCAGGACAGGGGGTGCAGCTCTAACCTGCCCTGCTCGTGTGTGTCATGCAGAGACTACTAGAAGCAGGTCTGCAGCTGTGTTTTAATATGGGAAATGTGGGTGATTTATATTCAACTTTTTAAAAATTCCAGCACTTAACATAATTTGAATCCTAGAAAATTTGTGCTGAAAACTCATAGTTTAAGTTAATAAGATGATTGCTTTGGTTTCTGTTGGAAATTAACCCACAGACCGACAGCCGAGTGATGGGTTGGTGCTGATCCAACGTCCTGGTGGAATCATGGGTTTTTGCATGAAAGCACCTTCATTTTTAAACAAGTTTTACATAATTAGAGTCAACTTTGCACTTTTATAAAAAATCTTGCATTTCGGTGAGATGTATGAAGGCGTTTAGCCAAAGGACCCCTAAGGACAAAGTCACGTTAGAACGTGGGTTCTGTGAAATGTGTGGCAGTGTCTCCCGCCTTCCTTAGAATCATCCAGGGTGGCTCCAGAGGGCTTAAACTGTAACTATGGAGCACACACACACACACACACACACACACACAGCATGTTCTTCATTTTGTAAGCCAAGATAGGTAGAAAAAGTTGGGTGCAGCATCAATTTTGGACAGCAGGGAGAAGAGCCCCCAGTAATCTTTGACAACACAGTTGAGCCTCCAGGAGCAGGCGTGGCCCTGCATGCTCTCAAATTGGTGAGCAGGCTCTCTGGCCAGATGGAAGGGCTGGAGGGTGCCCCGACCACAGCCCGTTCCTCCCGTGTGGTTCACCGGGTCTTTTCATTTTGCGTCTCTCAGGAAGGGCAGCGGTTACCGCTCATGGTGATCCTGACAGCCGGACCCAGCTGGGGACGCCCTGTCCTGATAGCGCCAGCCGGGAGCCCATGCCCTGCTCCCCAGCGTGTGGACGTGGGGGCTCGCCGGTCCTTTTAGCGATGTTTAAGCAACATGATTTGAATTATAGCTGAAGAGCTTCCCCAAACACATTTGAATTTTTCATTACTCACAGGAGCATGGCGTTTTCCAATCTCCATTACGGAAATATTTTAAAGTAAATGGTAAGAGGCTTGCATGGCATGAAATATTAATAAGGTCTCCTTAATGAGCATAAATCTGAATTAAAGAAGGCTTCTGGGGTTTGTGTGGGGGCTTTTTTTCTTTTTGGGTTGTTGTTCATTATTTGTCTTAGCAAATTTTAAGCCTTATCTGGAATTGCCTGTTTTAGGGATTGCTTTTAAACTGCTATTTTAAATTACAGATAAACATTTAGCCCAGAATTATATCTCATTTTATTGACTGTCAAAAGTAGGGCTTGAAGGAGAGGAGAATTACAGCTTGACATTGGCTCTTAGCAGGCTCGGTTTCCATTACGGCAATCCTCCAGCATCTGCAGTAGGAAGTAGTATTTTAAAGTTCTTAAATGTTGATGTGAGAAAAGTGAATGGAAGAGAAGGAAGTAAACTGGTCTGCGGTAATAAAGACAGAATTAATGAAAATGCAAGTAACAATTAATAGTCATGCCGTGTACAGCACCTGCATGTGTTCCTCAACTGTTTCCTGGCCATACCACTTCCTTACAAGTTGCTTCAATGTGCTTCCGATACCTCATTTCCATCTGGATCTCATGTAGTCCCACCTGAAAGTGCCCCACGGTTCCTGTGCATCAAGTTAGCACTGATCCTGTATCTGAGAGGGTACATCTGTGTTTCAGCTCTGGGTCCCACGTACTCATCAAGTGTTGTAAAGGACTGTGTGGTGGCCTCCAAAAGATATGAGCAGGTCCAGTCCTCACCCATGGAAGCTGGGCACATGAATTTGTTTGGAAAGCAGGTTCTTTGTGTAGAGAGCTCCTGAGCTAAGGCTTTGATGACAAGGAGATCATCCTAGATTTTGCGGGTAGGCATCAGGCAGTGGGAAATAACCAAAGGGAGGTTTGGTCACGGAGGAGGCTTGTGATGGTTGGAGGCAGCTGGGGGAAAGCAGAGCCTCCGGGAGCAGATTCGGGGGGTTGAAGGTGGGGTGCTACCAGACCTGGAGCTCAGTCCAGTGGAGAACACATTCCTCTTGCTCTGTGACTCCCAGTTCGTGGTTTCTATTGCAACAGCACGAGGAAGCCAGCACACAATTCACTGGTTTGTTCCATTTCACAGTGGTTAGAGAACCGTGTGAGGTCAACACTGTAGACTTTCTTCAAAGCACAGCATTTCTAAGTGACCCCGCTTCTGCACCCCTGCCTTAATCATGTCCTCTCCTTTGTTGCCCAGATTTCCTCTGTCTTTCCAGGCATCAAGGATCTTGGCTGATTCCAGATGTCCTGGGACCCTGCCCGCCTCATCAGCAGTGGAGTCAGCTGCTTGCGGCTCACTCCTGCAACATTTTTGTCATGGCTTTGTGCTCAGTTTTCATGTGTGGGCTTGGGTGAGGCTCAGGGATTCCCCAGAAGCTGCTTGGCCACACAGTCATCTCCTAGGACTCTCACGGTGAAGGACCAGGGCTGGGCAGTTGAGCAGGACACTGGAGGAGTCCTGCACGGGCTGTCAGCGTGGTCAGCTTCTTCTTAGCATCTAATGATATGGTGCCAAGCCTGTCCTGGAGAACTGTCACTGCCAGCAGCTGGCACTCTTTGGTGCTCATACACACATCCCCAAGCTCTGTGACCATCACGCTGTCTGGCCCCTGGGGTCTCTGGGTATCCTCTCCTCTTCTTGAGAGGTCTTAGTTGTCCCCGTAGGCCTCCCCTTGATGTAACTAATTGCATCTGAAAGACCTTTGGGTGGTTCTGTGAAAACCTGAATTTGAGGACCCTCCTCGGCCACTGTGGGCTGGCAGAGGGCAGCACCCCAGCTCACTCCTGAAGTCCCTTGTGATTTCACATCCCCAC